AAAAAAAAGGAGGAGGCGGAGTGTGGTGATGCATGCCTATAATCCCAGCACTTTGGGACACCAAGTTGGGTGGATTGCTTGACATCAGGAGTTCAAGACCAGCCTGGGTAACATAGCGAAATCCCATCTCTACAAAAAAATATAAAAATTAGCCGGGCATGGTGGCTCGTGCCTATAGTCCCAGCTATTTGGGGGCTGAGGCAGGAGGATCACTTGAGCCCAGCAGGCAAAGGTTGCAGTGAGCCAAGATCATGCCACTACCCTCCAACCTGGGTGACAGAGTGAGACCCTGTCTCAAAAAAATAAAGGTGGGGGAGGCAGAACTGAGCTTGGCATGTAGCAGCAATTTCCATGCATTTTTAATCTCAGGACTGTTTTACACTGCTAAAATTTATGGAGAATCTCAAAGAGCTTTAGTTTATGTGCATTATAGATAGCAATATTTACTATATTTTACTATATGTACTATATTTACTAACATTTACTATATTAGGTATTAAAACTGAGGCATTTAAAATCTTTTATTGTCGGCTGGGCGTGGTGGCTCACTCCTGTAATCCCAGCACTCTGGGAGGCCGAGGCGGGCAGATCACAAGGTCAGGAGTTTGAGACCAGCCTGGCCAACATGGTGAAACCCCATCTCTACTAAAAATACAAAAATTAACTGGGCATGGTAGTGTACACCTGTAATCCCAGCTACTCAAGAGGCTGAGGCAGGAGAATCACTTGAACCCAGGAGGCAGAGGTTGCAGTGAGCTGAGATCGCGCCACTGCACTCCAGCCTGGGCAACAGAGTGAGACTCCATCTTAAAAAAAAAAAATTTATTGTCATTTAAAATTAACAATAACAAATGCCTTCTGTATTAATGTAAGTTGTATTTTTCATGAAAAAACTATATTTCACACAAGAAGAAATTGAGTAAAGAGAGTGGCATTGACTTGCATCTTCTAACAATCTTTTATTTTTTTGAGACAGGGTCTCGCTCTGTCACCCAGGCCGGAGTGCAGTGGCACAATCTTGGCTCACTGCATCCTCCACCCTGCAGGGTTCAAGCGATTCTTTCACCTCAGCCTCCCAAATACCTGGGATTACAGGCACCCACCACCATACCTGGCTAATTTTTGTATTTTTTATGGAGATTGAGTTTCACCATGTTGCCCAGGCTGGTCTCGAACTTCTGAGCTCAAGCAATCCTCCTGTCTTGGCCTCCCAAAGTGCTGGGATTATAGGTATAAGCCACCATGCCTGGCCTGAAATTCTTTAGTGTCTGGTTTAGTAACTGACACCTGGATTCTCCTCAGACCTGTTTTCATTTCAGTCTGTTGCATTTTGTTGTTTCGGATTTCGCCTGTGAAGAAACTGTTCTTGTGTAGACATGTGGTTGAAACAGGGAGAAACGCTGTTTGTTTTTTGAGACAGGGTTTGGCTGTGTCAGGGTTTGGCACCGGAGTGCAGTGGGACAAACATGACTCACTGCAGCCTCAGCTCCCAGGCTCACGCGATCCTCACACCTCAGTCTCTCGAATGGCTGGGACCACAGGTGCATGACACCATCCTCAGTTAATTTTCTTTTTTTGAGATGGAGTCTCACTCTATTGCCCAGGCTGGAGAGCAATGGCACGATCTCGGCTCACTGCAAACTTCGCCTTCTGAATTCAAGTGATTCTCCTGCCTCAGCCTCCCCAGTAGCTGGGATTACAGGCGTGTATCACCACGCCCGGCTGATTTTTGTATTTTTAGTACAGACAGGGTTGCACCATGTTGGCCAGGTTGGTCTCAAACTCCTGACCTCAAGTGATCCCCTCGCCTCAGCCTCCCAAAGTGCTGGGATTCCAGGTGTGAGCCACCGTGCCCGGCTCTAGTCCTGGTCTTTTCTATCTGTGACAGTTCCTCAGACATTCCTTATCTTGCTTTGTTTTTCATGTCTTTTACACCTTCAGAGAAGATATAGTTTCTTTTTTATTTTTTGAGACAGTCTTGCTCGGTTGCCAGGCTGCAGTGCAGCAGCGTGATCTCGGCTCACTGCAACTTCTGCCCCAGCCTCCCAAGTAGCCGGGATTATAGGCACATGCTACCACGCCCGGCTGATATTTTGTATTTTGAGTAGAGACGGACCTCGTGATCCACCTGCCTCGGCCTC